TACATTGAACCTTATGGGGGAAATTTACCTCGGGGTGCAACCAAATTTGGAGGGCAGATTAGCCGTATTTACATTGAGCCTTATGGGGAAATTTGCCTCGTGGTATGACCAAATTCGGAGGGCGGAACGGATTAACCGAATTTACATTGAACCTTATGGGAAACTTTACCTCGACTTGAGACCAACTCGAGTTGCAACCAGAGTCACGGAACAGAACTAGGGGTACCACTGTATTACAAACTCCATCTATTAAACCCAATTTGAATCCTTCCTTTATTTTAACCTTGATCAAATGAACTGATTCTGTAATCTTTATTCTTTCTCCCAACAATCTTTAAATTCCTCAAAGAAAGTTCTAACAACTGCTTTCTCATGCTCTCTTTGTCTCTTCTCTCAAAGTCCTTGTCAACTTTGTCAAACCCCTTTTGTAATTTCAGTGTGGCAACTCCAGCAATCCCTTTTGTAAATCCAGTATGAGAAAATTATCCACATGCCTCTTCTGGTTTATTATTTGTATATTTTAAAAAAATTTTAAATCTTCATTCAGTTTCATTTGTAAATCCATTATTTCTATCTCTTTCTTGTAGGCTATAATTTTTAAATCCACCTGTAAGTCAAGTTCAGTTTTATTCAATGGGGCTTGTTCCTCTTCTGATTCCATTATATAGTTAAATAACTGTAAAATGTCCTGGACCCATTCATTAAACATTTCTTTTAAGGTAGCCATCTGGTGCCCTCTTGTGTCCAACTTTCAAAGTCATCAGTTTCCAAATATAAACAAAGGAATTTTCCCATGAGAAAGGATCCTTTCAATTAACTTCAAAATGTTAAATCAAGTCCATATGAGTCCTTAATCCATTTAAAACTTTCTAAAGCCAGCAGTAATAATCTGTAATCACCCTTTTGCTGTATATTCCAAAAAGAAAATTCTTACAAAATTTTAAACTCGTAGTTTTCTTTCTTAATTAATTGAAGGAGAATTCACCCAGCAAATACAACCCGACTTGTGGCTCAGAAAGTTTTCAATCTTTAACAAGCAGTTAAAAAAAAAAAAAAAACTAAACTCCAAAGTGATTAACAAGATGAGGTTTGGTTGAACCTTGAGTCAATAGAAGGCTACGTTAATGTCTCTGAGCTCGATGGGATCCCATGACTCCCAGCTGCTTGCAAGAGACTGCAAAAATATCAGTTTCTCCCATCTAGTCACCAAATAAATAAATAAAATAACAGCTGTCTGGAGTGCATATGGGTAATCTCAAGATCTCTCTCAAGAGAGAATTTTTGGCTGTCT